CTTGTTACATCATGAGATGGTTGCTTTGAAAATGGACTTTAGGTTTTAAACGGGAGCAAATCGCCAAGTTAGGAAGGAACAGAAATAGAGGAAATAAATAGGATGTTAAGAATGTCTTATCAGTCATATGATTCTAAGACTAAAAATTAGAGAAGAAACCATTTGAAAATACAAATTAGAAAGATGTATATCATGGAAGCTGAACTAATTCCAAAGTGTTTTCCCTCTAAAGTTTTCCATGAGATGTCAGCCACTTGTTGAGTGTTAAAATACTCTTCAGCTAGAGAATGCTGTATTTCCCTTGGCATTCCAGGCAGTTTCTAACCAGTGTTTGGAACTTGAAACCAGTGCCAAGCCTAAACACATCTGGTTGATTCCAGGCCACAAATAGCACTGGAATGCCTTCAACACCTTCCATAGCTGATAGTGACATGCCCTGGAGGCTTTCAATAACATTATTAAAGGTATTTGATTACTAATTGATATTATATATCACTGCATTACCGAATACCTGAAGTGTATAGAATGGATTCCTAATCTTATAACATGACACTTAGCAAATGAAAATGGGGTTGAATCTGCTAATGCTGGTTTTTAATTTGATTTGCTGAAATGCAAGTTTGAATTAGGAAATATAAGCACATAGATTCATGTATGTTATGACGATACATAGTGCTCTACATGACACACTTCTGACTTTAACTCTGGAATATATATATATATATATACATATATATATATATGTATATTATCAGTTTGATGCTCCAGAGTTAAAGTCAGAAGTGTGTCATGTAGAGCACTATGTATCGTCATAACATACATGAATCTATGTGCTTATATTTCCTAATTCAAACTTGCATTTCAGCAAATCAAATTAAAAACCAGCATTAGCAGATTCAACCCCATTTTCATTTGCTAAGTGTCATGTTATAAGATTAGGAATCCATTCTATACACTTCAGGTATTCGGTAATGCAGTGATATATAATATCAATTAGTAATCAAATACCTTTAATAATGTTATTGAAAGCCTCCAGGGCATGTCACTATTTAGAAAATGCTGTAGACTGCTATATGTTATTTCATTAATGGTCTTTATTTTACTGAACGTCCAATATAAATTTAGTGATGATAGAGGTGGTAAGGCACAATATTAAAGTAAGAAGTTATTTACCTGTAAGAGAAGAAATCAGAAAGAGACTACTAGTTGTATTGAAAGTTAAAAAAATTCCAATAATCTACTTCAAGGCAGCTAATAGTGTGAAGAAAACAAGTATAATTCAAGCCATGCAAGAACCATTGCTTAACTTTTGGAAAAGGTATTTTGAATGAGGTTAACTGGATAACAAAGAATTCAATGGAAATTCTGGGAAGATAGCGTGCTTTTCCATTTGACAAGACCAATGTGGTAGGAAGGTAATATGACAGGAAGCAGAAGTGTATTTGGGAAAAAGACAAGACATTTTGCCTTCCAGGAAACTTCAAGTCATTATGTTATGTTATTGGTCTCTTTTGTGTGCACTTGAACCTTAAAGAAAAGGATGCTATCACGAGAAAGGATGAGACAATTCTAGCATCAGCGATTCATTCATAAGGGCAACATAGGAGCGGTGTTAAATAGTGGAGATGGATTCTGGAATCTGACTGCCTGGGTTCAAATCCTTCTTTTACAACCGGCTGTACAATCTGTGGCATGTTAACCTCTCTGAGGATCAGCCTCCTTGTAGGTAAAAGGGAGATCATTTGGGGACCTAACTTGTGGACTGGGCATAAGGATTAAGGGAGACAACATTTGTACAGTGTTTAATACAAGGATTGCGCATAGTAGGCACTCAATGTTAGATCATTTTATTCTTATTCATTAATACATGTTCCATAATTTCCCAAGTTCTAATAGGATGCATGCATCAGAAGCAAAGCACATAGAAGAAAGGAATCTGAATGGAGAGCAGAGAAATTGTAGATGAAAAATTTCTTGGTGCTTTAGTTGCTATAGCGTGCATAGCCAACACTGTCTTACAACCTCTTTTGGATACTAATGTCTCATCAGCTCAGGAGCACAAAAAGGTCAACCAGTTAGGTCATTTCATGGAAAAACTGTGTGAATAATTCTGAATGAACATTACAGTTGACATGCCTCTCTCTTTTCCAAAGCAGCAAAACACAGAACAGTGTCCTGAGAGAGTGAACATTCTCTAGTACAGGTTTCAATGCCTTTTAGAAATGCTTGGGGGATGCTTGCTAAACTGCAATCCATCATATAGATATCCTATAGTTATAGGCAATCAATTTTCAGAGAATTCATTTGATAATAAACAATATGCATATAATAGAAGTATATTAATCCTGCACTATGAACTGACAACTGAAAGAATAAAATGTTCAGCTATGATGCCATGTAAAGGAAAGAATTTGGGAGCAGGCAAAAGTTTTGACCTATACCTTGCATTTAAACATTCTACTAATCTCCAGAAAGTTCATTAATAAGTATTTAATAAATTCCATTTTAATTGGAACTGACTTGAACCATCATCTATTTATCACTTGTTTGATTGGTTTACCTGATTCAAATCAAGATGTCTTAGGATGAAATTTCCACAAAAACAAGATTCAGAAAAAACATCCAAATTAATATTGAGTGAATCAAAACTTTTTTAGGGTAATTTTTAAAAATAATATCTAGGTTTATGATTCACTTGACAGAATGATAACTGAACTCAATAATAAATGAAAGGTTTGTGGTATGAAAAAAAAATGACCATATACCTGAGAAGCAAATTTGACTGGTAACTTATTTAAACCTCAGACTATCTACTCAAAAGTAGAAACATTTTTATTACTTTTCTAAATAAGGTGGGTTTAAAAGCACCTACCACAATATCTCAACAGAGAAAGCACTCAATAAATGTCAGATTTAAATTTTAGTGGAATACAAGTGAGTTCTTGACAGTGTTTAACAGGAGTTTCAGAATTTTTTATTTCACAGTCCTTGTTTGTGACAATTAATTCTACTGAAATCATCTTTTACATAGTGTTTCCTTCCTCTGTCCTAGTCCCAGGTCCCAGGAAAAGCAAGCAAGCAAGCAATAAGTCATTGGTAAGAAAAATTAAGCATATTACTTTGGGATCTGCCTAGGAAATAAATTAAACAGGTTGAGGCAAAAGAGCACTGGATCCCAACAGTAACTAGCTCATAATTTCCTTCTTAGTATAAATGATCCTGTATGTTAAATTGTAGGCAGACATAACAAACACACTTTATCAATGACACACGCATAATCAACACATAATCAAACGATCCAACTTCATTTCCCAATCTTAGAGTCAACTCCAAGACAGTTCTCACTTATAATTTTCATATTAAGACATTATCAAAATATTACTAATGCTTAATATAAACATACCATAAACTCGTGGGGCCCAAATTAGGATAAAAAAGCGTACTAAATTTCTACATGTTTCACATTGATAGAACATTCCTTAAGAACTTCACTTGGCTGGAACCTAACACACTAACAGTAGTAATGTCATAAGACGTTTGGTCAAGAGACCAAAAAGTTAACATGCTGGAAACTTGACGAGCTGGCAAGCCAATAGGAGGATAATTAATCACAAGTTTAGAGAAACCATTGGATGGTAAGCATCCTGTTGCTAGGCAATGTTTCTAGGCAGCAGATCTCACATCTTAAAGGACTGGAACAGTTTATTTTTCAAATTGATTATACATATTTGTGTTTGCCAACCTTTAGGTCTTTTGACTATCTATATATCTATGAAGCATGAGGACTATCTAATTTATAAGAAATAAATATATTGACTGGATGTCAATATGTATGGTAGCTCTCACTAAAATAAGTTTTACACTCACCACGTAGTAAATGGTAGAGTTTGCATATACTTATATAATAAAACCAATCAGAGAGGGAAAGATGCCTTCAGAGATGTGCCTATTGTAGCTGAATAATGAAATACATGATATATTTGAGGTTGATTAAAATAGTAAAGTAAATTTAGGCATGAAAATACCTTTACTCCATAAACGCTTCAATAGGACCTGGTACTAAATAAAATATGTATGATAAAAGACAAACATAGGAAAATTTTGATGTTTCAAACACTGAATTATAGCACACAAGTATAAAAGCTGTTTGAATTTGCTATTCAAATTGGGTTGTCTTTAAGGCATCATTAGTTGAACTTTTAAAATAATAACCATGAAAATCAGATGATTAAAAAAATAAGAAAACTGGATCGTTTGCCATAAGAGCACTGTTACTTATCAACCTCGTTCTCTTTACAAATACCCTCAACACTTACTGGTATAGAACTTGCTCACCTTTCCCCCCACTCAGGCTGCTTCTGGTCAGTCGTGCTGCCTCCAACACGTGTCCAATGAGGAATAAAGAATCAGGACAATGACAAGTACCAGTGCTTCCCAAGGATAGTTTTCAGTCACCCAAAAGGTGGCTATGTATTTAGGCAGTCAAATATGATAGGAAATATTCACATTCCCTTTCCTTTTCTTCTTTCTTTTTCTTTTTTGCCACATCATCACTTTGCCCCCAAAAGCATTAATGTGAGGTTACTTTTTTTTCCCTCTGTATTAAAATGTTTGATACTAGACTTTCCGGTTTCAAATGAGGTGTTTTCCTATATCTTCCCCCAACCCCCCTTTTCTCCTTGCCAATATTTCGATTGACATCCTACCCTCATTCTGTTCCCATCTGGGGCCAGTACAGCACGCCACATTTCTAGTGGAGAAGAGCTGGAGATGGGTTAGGGGCAGGCTCAGTTCCCTTGTTGTGGTGGTGGGGAAGTCGGGGGAAAGGAGGAGAAGGGAGGGAGAGACCACAGGTGGAACTTGACCGCAGAGCTGCAGGTCAGATCTTGGATTGTGGGAAGTAATATTGCTTTTCCTTTAAAAAATTAACCCACTATTTCTCTACTCATAGGGAAGAATTAGACTGCTCTGGTCAACTCTTGTAGTTGTTTCTAATCACTAATGCATGAACTGGAAATAAACTCATTACATTTAGAAAGTTTTATTTTAGACTTCTGAATATAGGTGGTTTTGGTAGCTTATTTGGTCTACTGCTTTTCTTTTATGGTACTAACACTTGTTTTTTAGCTGATTCAAAATGTGGCAAATTTATAAAAACCAAACAAAATCATTCCCAAATCATGGCTTACTTGATGTTTGGATGATGAAACTAATACATCATTGACTGAATTTATTTTCAGATTTTTTACAGGTAGAGGTTCATCGCAGCTTAAGAATTTGAAGATATTTTCAATAACTGGCTTGTGTCATGCCATTTCATTGCCCTGGTCATGTAAATATTCCTTTGACATGATTCATAAATTTGGTTTACAGATTAACTCAAAAGATATGAAGACAAGCACACTCATAAACACACGAATGATCCAATAAACAGGCAACAAAAAGTCCTACTGAGCTAGGCAAAAGCATTATTTCTTCCTTGTTGAAGGTATCAGCATATGCTACATCTTATGTCGCACAAGTGTACTCATTAAATATTATGAAATGTACAGCAGGCTGGGAAGCTCTAACTAGCTAGTCAAAGTCACTCATACCTGTGTGTTCGTATTTATGTCGCAGAAGGGAACTGCTTTTCTGGAATGTCTTGTCACATAAGTCACATGCATACATGCCACTCTCTGTCTTCTTGATCTTCTTTCGAGACAGACAGGAATCGGAGTCTGTCATGTCATCGAGGCCTGACATGTAGTCCTGTGCTCCATCAAGCAATTCTCCCTGTGATATAATCACATAGTTCAACACAATCTCTTCTTTGTGTTTACGCCAAACAACTTCACATAGGCTGACATTTGGAGAACCTCCAAAGTACTTGTAATTAATCGATCTAGTTTTAAAAAATTATTATTTTCCATGAACAATAGATGAGGTCTCACATTTCAACAAAAATATAAACCTTCTCTGCCCTAGATGGTAGAGTTCACTGTTTTTCAAGGACAGAAAGTGAGAAAAACATAAATTTTTCTAAAATCCTTCATTTTCTTTATACCAGGAAATACCCATGAGTGAAAATTAAATGCCAGAATTTGTGTATTTTCCAGTGGCTTAACTTTAGAAATGATCTGTAGCTGTAGAAACCCCATTTTAATTGAATTTTATATTTAGGTACAAAATGTTATTATTATGCAATCTATTTAAATGTATGTCTACCAACTAAAGGCCTCAAGCTATATTTTTATATTTAATTTTCTAATTTGAAATAGGGAATATTAATAACACTTTTTATCAATGTTCTATGTTAAAACAGCCTTCAGCATTGAGCAATAATGAATGTGGATCAGTAAATTATTAAATTTCTTGATATTTATTTTGTCTTGATCCAAAGGAGTGCAAACTTGCATGATAACATACATTTCCATTTGCTAGCCCACAGTTCAGTTTTCTTAGACTACGTTTGCACTAATTAATATTAGAGAAGATTAAATAGGCTTAAATACATTTACAAAGAGGGCAGATGTACTGTAAACTGGAATACTGGAACAGCTGTTACAGAGGTGCACTGCCACTTATGCTTCTAGTTTGCAAACAGGGATTATACTGCTTAATATTAAAATATACCTGCTTTTGTATTCAAAAAACCACAAATTACTTACTAGTTTGAAGATCTGGTAAGAAATTATGTAGAATGAAAAAGTATTCTTAAAAATACTCTTCAAAATAAACTATTTTCTATAAAACAAAGTACATATCAAATTTATATATGTACTATTGCAAGTTATGAACATCTTTAAAAGCATGTGACTGTTTAAAACTTTAACTTTTAGCACTTACGTAAGTCCTACCAAATATTGCGATCAACGTATAATTCTAAAAGCAGATGAGTCCATCTTAGTAAACCTCAAAAATAAACATGAATTTCCTCTTTATCCTTTTTTAAAGCAAATATGCTTACAGAGTACAGTGCTCCACTGTTTTATCCATTCATTTTTCTAGCCTACTCACAGTTTTGTGTTCATGTTAAAACAAACTCTTCTATTTCTGCTGATTTTTTCACTAAGTTTTTTTTTTCCTACATGCATACAAACTATATGATTTTCATCTCATTTCTTCAGAACAGAAAGATATGTCTCATTACCTGAAATCCTTGTTTCCGCTGGTACTTTCTCCTTTGCTGCATATCAGCAAAGGTAGCTGCTCCAGTTGGGTAGGTATAGGCCATGTGTGGTAGGAAGCTCATCTGATCCAGTCCTGGGTATGGTCGTAGCCCAGGGATACTGGTCTGGACTGGTGGCATGAAGGTGGCAGGGGGAAATGCGCTTTGTGGTGGAAGAGTTGTGAATAAAGGTTTGGCACTAAATGGGTTCATGCCGAACACTGGGTTAGTGCTTTTGTTGTCCAGATTATTTGAATTTGAAAACTCCTTCTTGATAAAAGTCAAGTTCAGAGGCTCATCTGAGTTTTCAGATGATGAAGAAATACTGTTATGGTCTAAATTTATGCTACTGGCTTTTGTTTTGTTCTTTGTGGCTATAATACTTTTGGGTTCTCTCATTTGTTTTGGTAATGACAAGTCCAAAGGCTCAGCCTGGAGCTCCTCAGAAGAGAAGCTGTTTGGAGTGTACGAACTACTGTGGGAGTTTTTAGAAGATGTGGAGGAAAGATTTAAGGGTGAAGGAGTATTACTCCTGGAGTGGTCCAATTTTTCAACTGGTTTAATATTGGTAAAATGGGAAGGTTTTGTTAGCCTGAGAGGAGGATCACAATTCGTAACACTGTTGTGGAGTTCTGCTATAGATGGTGATGTTATGGAGTCCATAGGTTTTATGGGAGACCTGGGTAATAAAGAGTCTTTTGTGGGAGGGTTACTGTTGGGAGCTAACGGCTTGGAGTTCCTTTCCAGTGATGGTGACCTGGAATTTGAATACTGGTAGACTTTTCGTTGCTCAAACCATTCCTTCACAAATTCCTGAGGAAGGCCCACAGCAATGGAAATTTTCAGCAGTTCATCAGAGTTGGGCTCCATGTTCATGGCATAGTATGCTTTGAGTACAGACATGTGGTCCTTGTATGGGTTGATGGGGCTTGTCATTCCTTTCTCAGAAAGTACAGATGACAAGAGGAGGGCTTTATTATCAACAAAAACTCCGGCTTTGTTGGGGACCATGTTTTCATGAGGTTGCAGGACTGCTTTGATCTCTTCATTCATCTTACAAAGGTAGCGTTCATGCTGATGCAAGGGAATGGGGCCAGGAAAACTTTCTTTACAGAACTGGCATGAAAATGGAGTGGATATGTTGTGGTTCTCAATCATTTTGTCATCAGTGACCAAATCTATTAAAGTACGTAGCTTCTCTTTCTTGATGTTACTGATCTGTCTCCTTGAGTCAGTAGTCAAGCTCTGGAGGCAAGCTTTGGCTTCGTTGACTTTTTCTAATGTGTAGTCAATAATACTTTTAGTGGCACCATTATGACTCACTACTGGAAGACCAACAGGTGGAATATTAGGAGAAGTAACTCCTTGTTCCTCAGGTTGAGAACATGGATCCTTCATGTGATAACCTTTCAACTTGGAAATTTCTTCAGCCTTGCAGTCCATTTTTTGCCTGGAAACCGTATTGTCCACAATCTGTAGAACCTTTTGTACCTCGCTTAAATTACTATTCATGGTGGGAAATCCAAGTAAAGGGGTTTCCATCCCTACACCTAAGTGCTGCATTGGACTCTGAGCAGATGGATGAACTCCTAATGGGCTGGTGGCTCCAAGCCCACCATTCATAAAGGGACTAGTGCCACTAAACCCGTGTGTGGCCATAAGAACTTTATAGTCATTGAAGTCTAGTGGTTCTGTTTTAATTTTAAGTAAGCCTGTTTGTTCAGACATACTAAGTGGTTTTCCATTCTCCAACTTGTTTCTTAACTGGGTAATGGCTGAATTAGTAGGAGAAGAAGAAACAGAATTAGGGGAAGAACCTGTCTTGATATTGTTTCTCATTCGGCCATTTACAGAGATTAAACCAATACATTTCTTGCTGCTGATGTGCGAACTGTAGGAACCAGAATGGGAGAAACGTTTCTTGCAGTTGGGGCACTCATAAGGTTTTTCACCTAAAATGATAATTAAAATTAACATTACATTTCTTTGAGTAGGTCACAATTGCAGTTGTCTACCAAGACAAGAATCTGTGAAACCAAATGAAAGGAACACAATGGGGTACCTCTACATTCTAGGTGCTTAGATTAGAATTATGTGACCATAACTGTTTCTTGGCTTTATTTAGCCTGGGAGGGCATAATTCAAGATGTGAACAGTGGAAGGTGAGAGCTATCTATGCCTTTTTCAGCTAAGATCCCAAATCTTGTCTTGCCATCAGCAGCCTCCTATTTAAACAGTGTGTCAGATTAATGTGTGGTCAATAGCACAATAAAGATGTCACAGTATTTAAAGGGAAGTGTAGCCATGGCTTTAATCAACTCTGTGGAGATTCCATTGATTCTACCAATCCAACTAGTCCTTTGAATAGCATCCAATTTGGTAATAAAATGCTTGGCAGAGCTATCAAACTAGTTACAAAGAAGAAATCTCAGTGGTAGAATACGGTTCTGTGATACACAGCTCTCAGGAATCAGGGAATATTTATCATGCACAAGCTCTTATCCAGGATTCTTCAACTTTTTCTTTCATGGTTAAGTATCAAAAATGAAAATGCTTCAAATTTTCCAATTGGCTTTTTTCAAGTCAAAACTATTTAATCTGGAAAGTGGCTCTAAAAGGACAAAAAGGAGCCTCTAGATTTTGTAATAAATCAAAGCACATGTAACTTTTTAGGAAGTATAAGCATTCCTCTTCTTTTTATAAGACAGTGCTATTGGTGGTACCATAAATCTCATGAAGACAAATCAGGCACACATAGTTTATGAAATAAATTGGTAGTTCCAAAAAGCTACAAACAGGACTATGTAAAATTTAAACAATCTTTTAAAGCTCCCCTAATTAAACAAAATGCAAATTTGAGCACCAGCACCTCTGCTACTCACCACTGTGAATTCGCAGGTGTTCTTTCAGATGGTGTTTATACTTGAAGGCCTTGCCGCACTCTGTGCACTTGAACTTGCGATTACCTGCTCCTTGGGTTAGCATTTGGTGCTATAAAAGGAGAAAGACTGACATCAGTTTTATGCAGGAGAAACAAAGAAAATTTGTTAGGAATATTTTTAAAAGACCTCTATTTTTCAGACAGGCCAAAAGGTTCGAGTGCATGCTTATTTATCTGCCCAGTCTTTCAGAGTTGCAATAAAAGTGATAATGTGGGTAATAAAATTGGAACAAATAAAAAAAAGTGCTTTCACATGCACATCCAATACTTGCTTTAGAATTATTTCTGTAGTCTCTTTTCCAAAATGTTTCTTTGAGCTTTTGAAGATGAGAAAGTGTAATTGTAAAGATGTTTGTTGTTCTTTGTGTCTACTACAAATTTTATTATATGAAGATGCCCTGTAGACTGCAACTATTTTGTCAAGGAAAGAAAGAAAGACTTTCCTAAAAATTCTGAATAGTCTCAAAAAAAGAAAACAACAACAACAACAAAAAAGACACCCCCACATACAGATAACAAATTTTATCAAATTTTCTGTATCAGGGTAAAAATATATATCATAGTGAAGCAATCCAGAATTTAAAGAAGAAAGAAAAAGTCCTCCAAATCAAAAACATACAAACAAAAAGCCTTGACTATAAATATTTTATTACACGATAAGCATGTTTAAATTTCCCATTCACTGTGCCAGTAGCAAATGTAAACCCTGTTTTTCCTGAGGTGTTGCATATCAGATTTGATTCATTATCAAATATAAGGGACAACATCTTGGGTTATAGCTGCTCGAGCAGTTTTATCACAGGCCAGTAGGAAAGATTTCAATGACTTTTCATTTTCCTTTTTAGTAGTGTGCTAGGGAGTAGGGACAAAAAGAAAAAAAAGTTTGCTGAAAAGACAAGTTAAAAGCAGCAAAGATATAATCAAACACAGCTGACCTTTTTGAACAAGGGAAAAAAGCAGTGTGACTTAGAATTCTGAAAAAAAAAATACAGTCATCCACTCTGGATGCTCAAGGTAGGAGGTCAGCCTTTTTCAAGCAGCAATGACACAAAAGCCTTGTGCAAAAAGACAGCACAGAAACGGTATGACAACTGCTAGGGTGTGCTGAATCTTCCCACATTCCTAGTGAGACAGATGGTGTTACATGGGACACAGGGAGGTTTGTTCAAACAGCAGCAACCTTCAAAGATCAAGCAGAGCCCAGCCCGCCGAGCGCCATTGAGGGACCAGCGCTCATATGTTGCTGAGTTGCATAAACAAACAGCAACAGCTGCTTTGTCTCCCCCCACAGCCCTCAGAGGACTACTATAAACTTTAGTTGTGCCACTGTTAATATGATACAATCATTTTAATTTACTAATTGTAAATGCCATGAGCAAATGAGGGGACTTTTCAACACCAAAGCTACCATTCATAATGCGCCAACACAATCACACTTCTGCATGTGAAATTTAAAGCAGTTTTGTTAGATAAATATCTAGGCACTTTTTTTTTTCTTAGACTTTTTGTGCATATAAGCAAGGGGAGATAAACTGTTATATAAGTGTAACTATGTAAGCACGTTTTTTGTATAAGCGATCTTTGAAAAACATTCACGTGGCAAATCCAATCAGATATAAATGGAATGATTTATATGAGCTGTTCTCTTAAAATAGTAAAATTCCATAATACGGTATTATCACCATTGCTTGCTTGTGTTTGCTTGCTTTTATTTTCTTTATTTAAAGAAAATAAAGCCCATAAGGAAAAAAATATTAAAAATTTTATATATCATGTTTAATATTTCTTAAAATGGATATAGTGTCAAGGCTTATATAGGGTAACTCGTTGTGTTTGCTTGCTTTTATTTTCTTTATTTAAAGAAAATAAAGCCCATAAGGAAAAAAATAATAAAAATTTTATATATCATGTTTAATATTTCTTAAAATGGATATAGTGTCAAGGCTTATATAGGGTAACTCGAGATTTGTAGGACCAGCTATTGTGACTTAAGACACCATTTCTGTTACCATTTGAACACATCAGAATATCAATTTGCAGAGTCAATTCTCCCAGGAGGACAGAAAGACCGGTTTTGCTGAAACATTTAAGGGTCACCATGAATCAATCCTATTTAATCATTTTGTGGGTTTAAGAAGCTGTGCTTACCTGTTCAAGACAGAGTTTTCATTTTTAAGACAAGTAAGCCAATAGAGGCAAAGCAATATTAAAATTTAGCAGCAAATAAACATATCAAGAAGAGATTATTTTTTAATGTACATCCAGTGTTTTAGTATTAATCAAATTTATATATATATATATATATACAGACATGTACTATATGCCTTTTTTATTTTCCTTAAAACACTTAATTAGATTTCATAAACTAGTAGTAGCTTGTAAAGATACTCCAAGTAATTGAAGGTATTATATGACAAATGAAAGAAATACACTTTTCTTTTACTATGACTTAGATCCTATATAAAAAAATTTCTAAGTAAAACTAGGTGAAAAATGGAATTAAAATTGCTGAGATGTTTAATAATGTATAATTAAAAGGCTACAATTTCATTCACTTTTTGTGGAACATAAAAATGAAACTAAAGTCAAGTTAAAGTGCAAATAAAATTTCTAAATTAGAAATTAACACACTCATTCGATCGTGAACATAAGACTATTAAATCATATTAGAAGAGACCATCAAAAAATCATTTAGACCTCAATTAAAGCTATTACCATTAAAAGATCTGCATCTTCAAAATGCCATGAAAAATTAATAATGATTGCCAATCAAAGCAATATCGTTTCTCTAAGGGGTTATTATAGAAAGAAATCACTTAAAACCAACCCCCCACCTGGTCTGTCCCTGGCTTGTGCGTCACCATATGCCGCTCGAGCTGGGTGCGGTAGGCAAACGTGTAGCTACAAAGAGGGCAGGAAAAGTTCTCCTCATTCTTCTCGTGGCGGTACTTGATGTGCTCCTTCAGTGATGTCAAGCGCTTGTAGCCCCGGTCGCAGTAGGGGCAGGTCAGCAGTTGGGCAAAAGCATCTGGAGTTCCAGGTGGCAGGTCTGTAGCCGAGAGACGAGAGTGAGAGAAGCGGGCCAAAAGGTCAGTAAATCAATGGCAGCTAATGGGCTGACTGCCCGGGATGGTATGACAGGAATCACTGCAATCTGCTCCACCAGAGTGCCATCATTGCTCCCAGCCTCCGCACACACCAGTCCCATCGCACACCCAGGACGGGCTCACCCAGATCAGCTCACACTGTGCTAGAAAATTAATTAATTACTTGAGCATTTTTTTTTTTGGGGGGGGGATTTAAACAGCTGATAAACGAGGAAACTCTCGTTAGGTGACTGACAGTTCCTATGAAATCTTTAGTCAGATACAACTCAGGAATTGACAGTGTAAACGACCTTTTCAGGTGTCGGTCGAGAACAACGAAAGGTGAGGGTCAGTATTTCCAAACTTTTTTTTTTCCCCCAAATCTTTAGTCAGATACAACTCAGGAATTGACAGTGTAAACGACCTTTTCAGGTGTCGGTCAAGAACAACGAAAGGTGAGGGTCAGTATTTCCAAACTTTTTTTTTCCCCTTCAAAAGTAAAATATTACCAAAAGATAGGAATACATTTAGATATTTTTATCTCTTAGAAATGGGCTGTAATTGTTCTTGTTCTTTATTGGACGTACAAATGACACAAATTTGCTGACAAAAAAATTTCACAATACCCTAAAATTACAGTTCTAATCTTTGCTCATGAAATTCCATGCCTCTGCAGCTGTTCTTCAAATTTTAAGGTAAACACCCAGGCATGTAGTGCATTTGTAATTGTAACAGCTGCAGAGGTCAGTGTAGTGGCTAAAAATGAATTACAGCCTTACCATTTTCTTCTTGCCCATTGGCCTCTGGCGTGCCAAGGCGAGACAGCTCCTCGGGGGCTTCTGGGTAAATAATGGCTGTGTCACTGCGCTGAAGGTACTCCTCAATGCTGACCGCGTGGCTGTCGCGTTCCTCCAGTTTTCTTTTGGCAAAGTATTCCTCAAAGTCTGATGTGCAATTTGCATTCTTAACTGAAATCATAAAAGAAGAAGAAATGTCTTTTCAGGGCCTTTCTCCTAGGAGTCCATGTCCATCTTCATCACTGTTGGTAAGAAATGCTGACTTGCAGGAAGAATACAGATACCTGCCTGGGTTTTTGTAAGAAGGGTGGAAGATGACCAATTATTGATTGAATGCTTATTCTCATAACATATACAAAAAAAGAAGACATTTTGCTTCAAGTAAAACAGGCACATTTTATTTTTTTCTTCCAGGAATATTAATCTGCACAATTCACAAAGAATGAAAGAAATTTTAAAATGATTTTGAGCGAAAAATTTTTAAAAAGCATACTAAGATCCATAAACATGAGAGAATATAAGCTCAAAGCTACATGAATAGTCTATATAAAACTTCCTTTTCTTTTAAGAAAGGTATATTTAATTTTTTATTGCCCACTAAACTGAACATCCCTAACCACAGATACATCCTGTTGCTAAATATACACTTTTAACCCTCTACTCTCTGAATATCAGAGAGAGCCAGGACTATGTAGTCTGAGACAGATGTGAAACGACAGATATTCCTAGAGAGATAATAATGCGATCTTGTTTAAAAATCATGGAATGCGGTAGTTTATCTTTCCCTATAATTTCAATCTTTAGCTCAGTATTTTAAAGCTGCTGAAAATATAATTAAGGGCATAGCTGATAGAAATAAAATAAAAAGTAACACAGGGAGTTAAGAAACTGGCCATACTACTGTGTGATTTTTATATGATTTTAACTTTTGTAATTATGACCCTATTCCCGTGAAGTGAATAATAGTTGTAAACCAATTTTCACAACTTTTGTCACATGACTCTGTATATCTGAAATCTCTAGATGTATTTCCGAAGTAAGCTGTGGCTCATATGTCCTAAATAAATTTTTTTATGTATAAGACAGAATTGGAAGAGTAGCTATTACATTATCCTCTCTCATGGGTAGGTGATAAAAGTGCTATGCTAGTATAATTAATGGTGGAATCTTACTATCATAGTTTTTGAGAGCAGTTAATCTTGGTTCTACTAGATTCTTCACCTTACCCTCTCTGCTATAAATGACATGACATTTGCCATTCTAATTCTCCTCGGCAAGTTGTGGCAAGGTGATGTTCAAGCAAGCCAGTCAAATTTTTTTTGGCTTTTATTATTGTAAACTTGTGACTTTTAGATGAGAAGAATAGAAAGTGGAACCTTCCGTTATTTCAATAAGTATTTATTGAATGCCCTGTATGTGATAGGCATCGTGTCTTGCTCTGGTGAGAAAAACAGATCTAGTCTCATCCTTTGGAAAGCCAAGAGAAAGATCGATACAACTGATATTATTTAAAAAATAAATACATCACTACAAGCTCAAATAAGTATTATGAAAGAAAGTGGTATGGTGGTATAAAAGAAGTAACAGAGGGAACTGATGGGATCTAGAAGAGCAGAAAAGCTTTGATTGAGGAAGCATGACGTTAACTACTTTTAGAAGCTGGGGAAGACTGGCATGTGCAAGAATATGGTGACTGGAAGGAGTGTGGGACACTTAGGATGTAAAAGGACAGTGCTGGAGTGCAGAGAGTGGAAGGGGAGCAGCATAATGGTGGAAAGGCAGCCAGAAACCTGACCATGCAGCAGGCAGCAGCCATTGAAGAATATTGAGAAAGGAGGATGGTTGGATGAATTATGATTACTTGCATTTTAATTAATTAATTAATTAATTAATTTTTTTCCGTTTTGTCTTTTTTTGTGACCGGCAACGGATCGCAACCCTCAGTGTCGCGCCCGTACCGGACCGGGACCGGCAACGGGATTGCAACCCTTGGTGTTGCACCCGCACCTCGCTCAGCCAGTTTTTTTCATGTCCGGCAACAGATCGCAACCCTCAGTGTTGCGCCCGTACCGGACCGGGACCGGCAACGGGATTGCAACCCTTGGTGTTGCACCCGCACCTCGCTCAGCCAGTGAGCGGCCGGTCTGTATGTGGGATCCGAACCCTTGGCGGGAGCGCCACTGTGCTCCCAAGCGGCGCACTGTAGCAGTGCGCCACCGGGCCGGCCCTACTTGCATTTTTAAATGATGACTCTGGTTACAGTACGACAGGAATTGGAGGAAGAGAAAAGTAGATTCTGGGAAACCAGTTAGGAGTCTCCTGCCCTAGGCCAGGCAAAAGATAAAGATTAAGAAATTGGCGATGGAGATGAAGAGAAGTGGCTAGATTTGAGAGATACTTAAGAAGTAAAATCCCAAGACCTGGGGAAGAATTGGGTTTGCCAAGGTGGGAGATGCTAAGATACCTCCCTCAGGTTCAGGTTTTCCAAATTTGATGGATAGCAGTTGACATTCACCAAAGCAGAGAACACCAGAATTCTAAAAAGACTTAAAACTATGAACAAACACCTGAGATCAAATGAAAGGAGATGGGAGAATTATACTTTGTGGACTATTAAACTAAATGCTAACCAGTCCTGAATGCTGTGATCTCACACCTTTCTCTTTTGCCACTCCATCTTCTGTTAAAATGAGCAGGAACAACAGTCTGATTCCCTGATCTGTATTTCCCTCAAAAATATGCTTGGAATGCGCAATCATGGACTAAGATTTTATACCATGAAATTTTGCATAAATCTTTTTCTTAGCTGGACTTAGGAGAAGAATTGGACATTAAGATCACTTTTCCACCACTATATGCACAATGCCACGGACTTTCCAAAGGGTACTTACTGGTGGTGATTGTGATGATGTCATTTAACTTGCATCATTGAGTCCCTAGGGAGTATGCAGGAACGGCCAACTTGCATAAACTATTTGTTCATTGTTTTGGATCATCAAAATAATTTCAGGGCCAGCCCGGTGGCGCACTGCTACAGTGCGCCGCTTGGGAAGTGTGGCGGCGCTCCCGCCGAGGGTTCGGATCCCGCATGCAGACCGGCCGCTCACTGGCTGAGCGAGGAGTGGGGGCAACACCGAGGGTTGCGATCCTGTTGCCGGTCCCGGTCCGGTACAGGCGCGACACTGAGGGTTGCGATCCGTTGCCGGTCACGAAAAAAGACAAAATGACAAAAAATAATAATAATAATAATAATAATTTCAGACCTATCAAAAACCACCTTTGTTTTTACTGGCAAGAAAAGATAAGAGGGGCAATATGGTAGATCCAAGACAAACATCTTCTGAATAACTTGATTGATTTTATCAGTGACTGACCTATTTTTCAGTACTATGATAGTAGAAAGTAACGTAATAGCTTCTATCTGAACCCGTACCTACTTGAATGTTGTTAAAGTTTAAAACATGATTTATTTAAGTTTTTTTGAGCACACTGTCCCACTTGATGACCTTAGTGTAACCTTGTAAACATAGATGGATGTACATTTAATCCTCCAGTAATTTCTTCTCATACCTTCTCAAGAGATTTTGCATTTAGTCCTAAAATTTACCTTAATGTCTTGCAAATATCTCAACCTTCCCTAAGGTTAGGTAAACTTTTCTCTATCCAAAAAAAGAAGTTCATTAATTAAAAATGTTTCCTCATGGTCATGTGTATTTTAATATTGTCAGGGAAAATTTCTAGGTCCCTTCAAGTCGGAAAAGGCTTAGTTTTCTTAGAAATATGTAATCATTCTTACTAATATTGCTTATTAATGATACTTTCATAAATACTTTTATGTCTGTCCTAGATATTGATATATATTTTTTTCCTTTTTGTCTTTTTTTGTGTCCAGCAACGGATCGCAACCCCCAGTGTCGCACCCGTACCGGACCGGGACTGGCAACGGGATCGCAACCCTCGGTGCTGCGCCCGCACCTCGCTCAGCCAGTGAGCGGGAACCAGTCTGTATGTGGGATCCGAACCCTCGGCGGGAGTGCCACCGCGCTCCCAAGCGGCACACTGTAGCAGTGCGCCACCGGGCCGGCCCTAGATATTGATATTTTTAAGTAGATAATGTTAAATATCAATATGGATGACTTAAAAAATAATTGCCTAAAAAATAAGAAATGTTAACAGTACTCTAAATAAAGTAGAAATATTGGTCTCCAAATCGGTCAGTACTCATAATCAAATTCTTTTAAGATATTTTCTCCAAGATACTTAAAAGTGGGTTTTACTGAGTGTTTACAGGTAGTTAAATTATAATGTGGCCCTGACATTGAGTCCTTCTCCTTTTCTGTTTCCCATTGCCATTCATTTTCTTGTAACAAGCATGTGTTACAGGATTTAATAATCCTTCCGAGGGCTGGATTCACATAGGAAGACAGGTACTCTATTATTACGTTTAGTGTCCTGCATGTTTGCAATTTTTATAAAAAGTTGAAAAATATATTTGAATATGATGTTAAGCTATTTTAATAAACATAAAGATGAATAAATAATTCTTTTGGAAAAGAAAATATCTTGGAGGGTCCAGAAAAGCTGCAGCAAGGATGTGTAAACAACTGAGTAGAGTCATTCATTCATCCCTATGTTTAATAACTGTTTATTGTGTGCTTACTAGTGCCAGACTGTGCTTGGGATGAGGACATAATGTTGACTGATAATTTTTTTCTTACTCTGTGATTCTCATATTTGGAGACATATTTTCATACTCTGTGATTCTGCAATATACAGACATATAAATACATACATGTATAACAGGGGATCATATATGTATACTTCCTCAGTGTAATGCAAAAATTATTTATTTATCATATTTTGCTCATTTCACTACGTTAAGGAGAAGGGACCTGTGCTGTGGAAGCAATCAGAAACCTAGGAAACTGTATTCATTATCTTTATGAAAAACAGTCTCTTTATTCATAACACCTTAGATGATAAGAAAACACAAAAATCATTTTTAGTTTAGTCATTCATATTGAATTTTTTAGTTTAAAGAAGCACTTATTCAGCATTTGTTGAGGTATATAAATTTTCATGGCTACTTTGTTTAAAATTGATTAATGAATATAAGCGTTTCATCATTAAAAATTCATGTTTGCAGTTTTGCCAAAGGCTTCCAAAATATG